CTGAGCTACATCATGGGGTATTTTTTAGTTTTTTGAGATAACATCTCACTAAATGCCCCAGGTTTAGCTCAAATTTGTGATACTCCTGTCTCAGCCTCTTAAGAGTGCTGGAATTATCATGCACAAATCCAGATTTTTTATTTTGGACCAAGATTTTCTCCTGTGTTCAAATAACAAATCCAGACTTTTTTTTTTTTTTAAACTGAGGATTCATTAGTTAGCCAAGTAGAGGTGCTCAGGACACCTTGGGGCCATCACAGTCCTGTCAGCCTCCAAGGTCACTTCGTTAGCAGGCTCCTCACAAGGGTGAGTGGTTCCCCAGGAGGCTGGTGTCTGGGTAATCCTAGTTCAGAAAGAGCTGCTCCTTCTGAGACACTTTGGTGCAGTCCCACTAGGTCTGATTGGCCTGACTCAGGTCCCCTGGTTGTCATGTCCCCTGGACATTCCAGTGTCCAGCCAGAATGAGGCCCGTGCCACCCCCACTTCACACTGCCACTTTGTTTTACAACAAGCTCCTCCTTTGGAGTCCCTGATCCACCCCAGGTCCACTCACATAGACAATGGCATAAATAAGTAAGATTCTCATTGTCCATTGCAAGTAGTGATCAGAATTCCATGATTATGTTTCTTTATTTTATTTTAAGTTTGGTAGTTTCACAAAACCACGGAGGAGCAGTTGCAATAAGCTCCCACTGTATTGCTCATCAAATAATGGGTAATGATTCATGGCTTTTGTGACTTTTTTTTTCTTTTTTTGCGGAACCAGGAATTGAACTCAGGCCTTTGTGCTTGCAGGTAAGCGCTGATTCTACTGAGCCATATCCCTGGCACCTCCATCTTCCCAGCCCCTTCATATCCCCAGCCCCTTGTGACTTTCAGTTGTCACAACATTGGTGGAAGAGTGGACAGCTGGGAGAAAGTTCAGAATGCTGATACTTTCCACTGGGTGGCTAGGCTGAGTTAGAAGAAAAATAATACTGATGAAAAGAAGGTGTAAAACTCCATGAGCTTGTTTAGATAGCACATATATTCACTGGATTTATCTCCACCTCCTAAACTGTAAAGGAAATTTCAATTATTACCACCCATTTGAACTTCACAAGGGCAGGATTTTCTTAGTTTTTACCAGTGGCATCTGCAATCTCATAAACAGAGGCACGTCCAGAAGGCAATGGAGTACAATTGCTCACTAGTCCCTCACTTCAGAAAGGAGCATTTTCAGAGGACCAAATTTCATTTATAGGATTCAGATGGATTTAAAACAAGAAGTCATGCAGTTTTGTACACCGAAGCCGTCTGGCTTTCCAGCCACTAGCCTAGCATTTTCAAAGAAGAAAAATGGGAATGTCTGCTCCCACAATGAAAGGGGAAAAGTGAGCCAAATGGGTTTTTTTTAATAATTTTTTTTTGCCTATGTAGCATAAGGACAAATGTATAGATCAATGGAAAAGAATTGAGGATCCAAAAGTAAACCCTTGTATCTGTAGCCGATTGATTTTTCAACAAGAGTGCCAAAACTGTTTAATAGGAGAAGAATGTTTCTCCAAATGGTGCCAGGACAAGTAGATATCTACATGCCAAGAAGTGAGGTTAGACCCTACTTCACGTCACCTAAAAGAAAATAATTCAAAATTAAAAACCTAAATTAAAATGCTAAACCTAAAAATCTTAAGAGATGGATATAAATTTTCCATGACCTTGGATTAAGCAAGTCTCTCTAGCAAAGGGAACAAAGGTGAAAGGAAAAGAATGAATTAGACATCGTCACATTAAAAACGTTTATGTTTAAAAAAATACCAAGTGAATAAAACCCCACAGAATGGGAAAGAATATTTGCAAATCACAGTTCAAATAAATGTCTAAAATTACTCTCTGAACTCTCAGCCAGGTGTGGTAGCACACACCACATACCTGTTATCCAAGCACTGTAGGAGGCTGAGGCAGGAAGATCCCAACTTTGAGACCAGCTAGAGCATCCTAGCAGGACCCTATCTCAAAATAGGAAATAGAAGGCTGGGCGTGTGTTGGTGCTCCCGGGTTCAACCGTGATGAATGTAGCTTTGTGGTTAAGTATCAAACAGGGAAATGTGAGACCTCCAACTTTACTGTAGTCTTTGAAGATTGTTTTCACTATTTTGCATTTTCTTCTGAATTTTAGGATCAGTTCAGAATGTCTATTTTTCTGTATGAGTTGTCAAAAAAAATAAACTATGAAAAAAATAGAATGTCTATTTTAAAAATCCAGCTTGGATTTTGATAGGATGTGTGTTGAAGCTAGAGATCAGCTTGGGGAGCACTGCCATCTTCATGGCACCAAGTCTTGTACTTAACATGAAATGTCTTTCAGTTATATAAACTCTTTTTTAGTTTCTTTCAGGATGTTTTGTAGTTTTCAGTGTACAGTTTGCAGTTTTTTAATGTATTTGATTGGTCCAGTGTCTCACTATGCAACTCGGACTCGTAGTGATCCTTCTGTTTTCAGCCTCCCCAGCGCTGGCATTACAGGCCTGTGTCACCATGCCCAGACTCTGTGGCCAGCTCAGCCCACTCTGGGGGTGGGGCTGGCACAGCATGTGGTGCCAGGAATCAAACCATGGTCCCTGCACTTGCCTAAGCTTGCCTAAGCAGGTTCTTTAATATGCTGAGCTATCTCACTGGTCCCCAATTTCCACTTTTGTTGAATTTATTCCTAAGTACTTTATTCTTTTTGATTCAATTGCAAACGGAATTATATTTTAATTTCATGTTCAGATTGTTCATTGCTAAGTGTATAGAAATAGAATTAGGGGCTAGGGAGATAGCTCTATAGCTTAGGCCCCTGCCTGGCAGCATGAGGTCCTGAGTTTGATCCCTAATACCAAAAAAGAGGGGAAAAAAGCTGTCTCAAAATAAAACTAAAAAAGAAATAGAATTAATTTTTTGTATATTGATCTTGTATCCTGCAATCATGCTAAACTCATTCTTAAGTTTGAATTGGCTTGGCTTTTTCTTAAAGCTGAAATCTTTCTTTAAAAATGAATTCCAGGTATGATATCCTGTGATTTAGAGAGAATTTTACTTCTTCCTTTCCAATCCAACTATCTTTTATTTTCTTTTTAATACCAATATCCATGACTAGAACCTCCACTACACGAGGTTAAATTGAAGTGGAGAGAGAGGACATCTTCCTCTTGCTTTTAATCTTCCAAGAAAACTAGATCATCTTTCACCACTCAATATACTGGCTGAGGTTTTAATAGATACCCTTTATAAAGTAGAGGAAGCCCCGTTCCATTCTCAGTTTGAGGATTGTTTTTACCATGAAAAGCATGTTGGATTTTGTCAAATATTTTTATCTGTATACTAAGATGATCACATGGATTAAGGTAATTTGTAATTAAATAAAATCATGTAATATTCTCTTTATAAAAATGTATCTTCATTGCTGGGCCGGCCCCACCCCCCAGGGCACATTGAGACTGGGACTGAGATTGGGCATGGTGGGGTGTGTCTGTAATCCCAGCACTTGGGAGGCTGTAAACAGGAGGATCAGTATGAGTCCTATGTATGCAGTGAGACTCTGTACACCCTTTCCTAAATACAAAAAATAAAACAAAATAAAAATGTTTCTTCAGTGTATAGTACATAAGGTCAGAATCTCCCTGGTTCTTTCTCAGTTATCCCAAAGTGCTAATGTTGTCACATTGCTGTTTCCTTTCAATTTTTTTTCCCTGTGAATATGTGTGGATGCATATGCTAAAATATATAATATGTTTTAGTAAAAACAGCATAATATACACAAGCTGTTTCCTGCCCCTGGGATGCCTCTTGGCCCTACTTGACACACCGGTGTCCACATTTCCTTTAAGGCTGAGGTCAACTCCTGCTTTTCTATAGTCTTGTTTAGGGTCATTGCATGTATCGGCTATCTTTCCCTTCTAGCGAGGAACCTTAGAGTGCTTCCTCTCTCCTTGGTCCTTTTCAGTTATAATTTAACATAGGAGAAGTTTAGATTTAAAAAGCTGGAACTTCAATACAGTAAACTCTTATCCCTTAAACATCTTCTGTGCCTTGAGGAACATCTCTAGCTATTGTGTGATTGTCTTAGCTATTTTTTGCATTGCAGAGACAAAGAACCTGACACCCAAAGTTAAAGAAAGAAGTTTACTTTAGTTCAGTTTTTCAGGTGTCAGTTCACAGTCAGCTGGCTCCAAGGCAGGATGGGATGGCAAAGGGGCATCACAGAGGAGAAACTTCTCATGGAGTGGCAGGGCAGGCAGAAGGCAGCAAGCAGCAAGCAGCCAGACTGCCTTCTTTCTTTATATTCCATCCAGGCTACGAGCCATTGATTGGTATCACCCACATCCAGCGTGGATCTTCCATTATCCACACCCAGAACTATAATAAACCAATTTAGCTATCACACACCTTAATCCCAGTACCATACACCCATCATAATGCCACCTCCCCAAAGTTTCACCTAGAAACACATGAGGCTTCGAGGGGACATTCAGATATAAGCCATAACAGTGATCATGGTCTGAGGCCGAGTTCCATTTTGAACTATTACATCATTGTTTTTATATGATAGTGTTTGTTGGTTTAATAAACTGAATTCAGCTGTCTTACAGATTGTTTGTTATACTTGGTCTATTGGAAATACGAGAATGAGGAAAATCCCTAGTTTGTGGAAAGATGGGGGCAGGAGGACCTTGCCACTTAAGACAGAATAGTTTCTTCATTCTATTGCACATCAATTACATATGGGGCTTCTGGGACTGTCCCTCTAATGGGAAAATGATTGGAAGATATTTTAATGATAAGTCAAGATAAGTTTTGGCACAAATTCTAAACCAGTCTTTAAGACTTAGATTTCAGAGAATCCTGTTTCTGAAGTCCGGATGTGAGCTATTATATCCTGTTTGTTTGTCTTTCAAATTTATTGGAAGGTTTTCCCATGGACCCTCCATGTCACAGAAATTCCCCATCAAGCCAAAGACCACACTTGGAATGACCCTTACCAGGTAGCCTCTCCAGAAGGACTGTATGATAATCGCTGCTTCCTCTTCCGTCAGTAGGAGGGAAAGCGGGATGGGGGTCCGCGGGCTGCAAAGCAATGAAATGGTCATATGTTCATGAGATCCCATCCTTCAACCCTAGCAATTCCTCTGACTAAACAATTAAGAGCCTCATCTGTTCCCATTTTTCAAAAGTGATAATGTCAATTTTGAAAGGAAAGTATATTTTAGAGTTAGCACTTTTATACTAAAATTTGGGATTCCTTTTAAAGCCAACATAATCTCAAATCACTGTTAGTGTTCTCTTCTGCTGAAGGACTCAGATAGCTTGCTAGTCCTGCAGGTGCAACATAACTGTGATCAACACAAGACCATGTAGACACAGTGCCAGCATCAGATGAAACAGACTTTATGGATTATGTTAGAACTGAGATTATAATGGGCTCTTTCTCCCACTTTTTACTGCAGGGAAATTCACCAGTTCATCTCTTCCAGAAAGTAAAACACTAAAATTTACTTTCTGTGTGATTATTCTGCATTTCAGGATAATGCAGTTTAAGTTATGTGTATTTTTAAGTTCTTTTCTTACATCTTGTTAAGCAACAAAATATTTTAGTGCTAGATTAGTTAACAGTATTCTTGTGGGATTTTTAGATTATGATGAGATTAGATTATAATTTTTAGATTATGATTTTTAAAAATTATAGATATATTAAAATCATGATTACATTTTTTTTTCTTCCCTCTAAAAGTTTAATGGATAACTCTGGATGGTGAGGCAGGAGGATCACTGTGAGTTTGAGGCCAACCTGGGCTACAAACTGAGTTCACAACTAGCTTGAACTACATAGTGAAACCCTGTCTCAAAAAACAAAAAGAGTTCAATGGAAGCATGAAGAGGTGACAAGATCTTTTAAGCATGTATTGATACTGGTTCTTTACGTGTGCCCAAAGCATAGCACAGTTACCTCTGAAAATTAAGGAGGGAGAGATTTCAGATGCCAAAGGAATGAACCCCTGAAAAGATGTGGATCACATGGAGGCTGCTCCCAGGAGAAGATCCCCAAAGTTGACTTTGAAAGTATGTGATTCTCAAGTGTCCCCGGCCCCTGGGCTCTCCCTCCTGACAACTAGAGCTGATAGTAACTCTCTTTGTGCAGAGAGGCTGGCTAACCTGCCTGAGGCCACACAGCTTTAGGTGGCTGGCTAACCTGCCTGAGACCACACAGCTTTAGGTGACCTAGACAGGAGCAGCCTCCAGGCTTTCATCTCAATGGCGAGCTGATGCTCTTTTGCAAGCAGGCAAACCCTGCAAGTAATCAGCCTGAAACAGCTTGCAAAAGCAACTGGCAGTAGTGCATGATTCTCCAGGGTCTGGGGATTTTATTTCTCTCCTAACTCTGACTTAAAAAAAAAAAAAAAAGAAAAAAGAAAAGAAAAGAAAAGAAAAGAAAAAAAGGAAAGAACCTCAACACTGTATATTTGTTTGAATGAATGAATGTGCTTTTGAATTATTTCAGAATCAAAGAAATCAAAGCCAGGAAACACAGAGGGTTATCAAGACTGTCTCTAGTATTGGTGCCGGCTCTGGTTTTCCAGCCAGACAGGTCCTTTCTAAAAGATGAGTACAGAGGAGTCTTCCACTTCTTTGCAGAGATAATTATACCCTCAAAATGATAGCATTGTTAGGAGCCCTTCCCTAATGTTCAGTTTCCATTTTTATTCACATAATGTGGTGGCTTTATTGGGGGCTCTGTTTCTGTGTTTCCCTCTCCTTGCCTTATTAATAACCTGCTTCTGGCTCTGGTGGAACAATCTTCTTCAGCTGCCCTCTGGCTCCTGGAGGTGCCAAGACTCCCTGAGCTCCACATTGAGGGTCTCTCCTCATCTTTCATTGTCCTTATTCTGTACAAGTCTCAGTGATGTGACACCAACATATCAATCCCTGAAGTGCTTCTCCCTTGCTAGTTACAATCCGAGGCTTGTAGAGAGGTCCTGGTGCACTGGCAGGGGGTGTATGAGAAGAATGCCACAGCTCATTAACACTAGCTGGAGTTCACCAAGCACTTTCTGGACACATCTCCCACCAGCCTGAGCCTTTGTGCTGCAGCCAGGCTGGGCCTTTTCATCTCCTCACATGGTCCATGCTCCCTCCCTCCCACCTCAGGGACTTGGTAAAGGTACTTTCGTTGTCTTTCAACCCAAACCGTCTTCCCCCAGCAAGGGGCACTTGTGGTTGCACAGATTGTTCTCTGCTCCAAGACACGCAGCAGAAGAACCAGAGGGCCTTACATCTCAGCCCATACTAACCTCCCTCAGCCTTGCCCTAAAGTAAGGACACTTTTATTTCTCAAAGCATGGAGGGAAGGCGGGAGACACCTCTCTTTCCTACTTCATGCTTATTTCTCTTCTGATCTCCATTAAAATGTTATTTGAAATGTCTTCTGACTAGGTCAAAGATCAGTTGTTCATCCTACTTTTCTTCCTGGTCTTTGGTCCAATTTGGAGATACAAGCCTATGGGATTATTCAATTAATGCCCAAATCTTTTCCTGGACTGAAAGCTCCATGAGGGCTGAGACTGGCCCAGGGTTTGTTCCTCTTATTATAGCAGGCCTGAGGTACAATTCAGCATGTAAATACTTGAGTGATGAGCAGTCGTCTCCACATCTGGCAGTGTACTAAGAAGTGCTTTTGAGGTGCAATTTCATCAGATCCTCACAACAGCAAAAATGGGCTAGTGTTATCCTCCCTTTAGGGTTGAAAATACTGAAGCACACAGGGGCAAAGGGACTCATTCAAGGTCACTGACTATTTTCTGCTGAAGCCACAAACTTCCCAGGAAACAGGGAAGGGGCCAGCTCATCAGGTCATGAACACGGCACTCTGAGACTAGCAGCGGTTGTGTGCTAACTAGACAAAAGCACAGTAATTTCCCTAGAAGAATAAATGGGAGGTGTGTGCCATAATCATAGAAAATGCACTCTTTATCAGCCATACAGTGCTCACTCGGCAAATACTCAGTTGTCTGACTCTACAGGGCAGTCCTATGTCAGCACAGCTAAATAGAGTGGGTTCGTACCTTGCATTTGAAGGGACATTTGATGACGTTTTTCTGTTCAGGTGCAATTTTCCTGCCTGAAGTATGTTTTGAACTGCAGATGTCATGATGTGCTCAGAGTAACCATATTTTTACACATGCTTAGCAGGAGAAAACCAGAACTGTGATTCCGATAACACACAGCTGGACGAGTCCAACAAGCCTTTGGCCAGTAATGAAACCATGAACCACTATGCACCACAATGACATCTCCAAAAAACAAAATCAGTTTCCTAATAGACCTTTCAGGCAAAAGTCTGAGGCCACCTTTAGTGACATCCTTACTTTCATGGCAAAATAATGTGGTGTTGTCTAGTTCATAAACAAGAATAAGTATGAGAAAGCCAGTGTGTATCAGTCCACATGGACTTAAGTCCTCAGAGAATATTCACTAGAAATTATCAATCATTTCAGTCAGTTGACTTGAAGAGAGAGAAGCCATGCCAGTCCCTTTTCTTGCTTTTGGAAACAGTGCAGCTGGCTTCAGGTCAAATAAAAATACACAGGCAAGTGCTCATCACAGAGGAACTAGAGAGGGGAGAGGAGATCAAATGTCAATCACAGGAGAAGGCAGCTGAGAGTCCTCAGGGGCTGAAGCTGGGCATCCCTGGGGCAGACTTTCCTGTGCATCCAATCAGATGCAACAGTGTTGCTCAGTATGTTTTCAAGGAGGCTTGTTTAAGCCTTGTTTGTCCCATCTTTCTCCTTCCCCCTCCCTTAAAAGTGCCTTACATGTATATGACCAAGAAGAATCAATCCTATAATTCTGAGAATGAACAGAAATTAATTTTTCTGATGGTATGTGATAAAGATGAATGTGCAGGTATGTATATACACACACTCGCCTTTTTGTGGATGCCACTTAAAGTATTTGGAAGGCATAAAAAGATACAGTGTACTTACAAAATATACAGTAAGAAAATCTGAGAAATTAGTCTTCATTAATTTCTTTGTCTAGTTGTAACACAATTAAAGAGGTATCATCCAATAAAGAGAATAAAATAGAAAGCAGGAAAGCTTGTTTGCTATTAAAAACTGAATTTCAGAATCCAAATTCTATCTACTTTTCATTAGGTAAGAGTTTGAGCAGTTTTCTTTGAACACAGAAGCACAGCATTCTAAATGAAAGCCATTTGCAAAGCCGGCATAGGCTGCACATCTGTCATCATGGAGTCTTCCATTGCCCAGTCCTAGCTAACCTGCACCCACTGTATTCTGAAGAGACCTTACTTTTCACCTTAACTGGCTTCCCAAAAGCTCTCTCTTGGAGTCCCTACATTCTTGATGTAATGAACTTCAACTATTTGAAAGAAATGCAACAGAGGTTAGGCTGCTATCTCAGGATTCTCCCAGTTCTGGTTTTCTATGACATGAGAATTAGCTCTCGGAGCAGTAAAGTTTTACTCTCTGACAGCTTTAAAGCACTTTATTTCAGAAATGTGGGTACTGGGAAGTGATCTTGCCTTCGCCCCTCACTAATCTCTACCCTGGGAGATCAGCAAGCAGTTATTACCCCACCACCAGGCTGAGTCATTCTCCAGTTAAACACAGAGCTGAGTCCCACTTCAACAACCCCATCATTGAAGCTGTTATGTGTCCGGATAACAAAGCTCACTAAATAGCAGACTGCTAGACCACGTGTATATCCTGTGGGTGGCAGGTACAGTATAGCCATCTTAAAAACCAAGCCTACTTGGTGTTGTTTGATAAAATATGCCCAGATTATGATGTTATTTAGCTCCCTTAGGAACTGTCTACATGTTTTCTCTAATGTGACTTAAGGAGAAACCTATAGAGACCAGCCTGGTCCCCATCCTTTCTCCCCAAGCTCCAAAGGATGAGCCCAGGCCAGGGGAATGCACCAGAAGCACAAGCAAACTATATTCCTTCCCCTCTTCCCAACCTGCTTGCCATTTTTACACCTTGGACCTCTTTCTATTTTGGCAGTTTGGATTCCTTCTTATAACAATATTTTTAACATAAATATGT